TTTTTTTTATAAATATGTAAATTAATTCAATAAATAATGTTTATTTAAAATTTACATTGATTGTTTTCTATTCAGAATGGGTGGGGTAATATCGACTTACGTAATAATATTTTGGGGTAATGGTTAAAAAAGTTCCCCGACCGCTGCTTTAAAGAGTAGCAGTCGTAAACATCTTCGATTGTTATGTTAACTGCTTTGTGCTTGTTCTTGAGAGTATTCAGCATATGTAAACGAAATATCAGTTTAGGGCTAGTTTATATCATACAAAAGATACATTTGTTTTGTAGTTGACTTTTGTTTGCACATGCTACTGATATTTGAGATCTCAAACATTGAACTTTCTGCTTAATATTCCAAATAATTTTATCAGTAAAATATATATACTTTGCATTTCCATTTTGTGTACATAACTTGTGCAAAATATAAAACAGTTTCCAGAAGCTACAGTTTCGTAACGGTTTACAATTTCTATGTATGGACATGATCTGTCAATCCGTTTTTTTTCCTCCCTACCTGATGTGAAATCAACAACATGGGCTTCATGTAAACATCATTTATATTTAGATACTTAATTTATAATCTTTCTCTTTTGGGAACGTTTTAAACTTTGGATTCCTTATATAAATAAGGACTACGTCAATGCAATATGTTATCTTTATTTTATTATTATTACTCGATGTAGAGCATTCACGATAATTTATAAATGCTCGACGAAAAGGCAACGTGAGTTCCCATGCACGCACGAATGCTCTTTCGTTATCTAATCTGAACTGCTGCAATTCGCTCATTATTTCCTTTGCGATGAGACCTATTCCAGTACAATATTCGAAGCGCATTTTTTATTCTATTCGTTCGTTCGGGTGTAATCAGTAACGATAAATGTCGTTTGCGATGAGTAAACCGTCTCAACATGACCTACGATAAGGAGTATGAAAATACTACAACAACAACAAAAATCAACAACGCGATATCTATATTTAAAACAAAAACGAGTTATTTACATCTCCGAGCATCCTTCAGATTCGTACCCTATATACATGTAATTTAATGCTATTTTGTAAATGCAGTTAAATCATTTGGGATGTGATTTGGCACCGGATTGTCTGGTTTATCCAGTTAAGTGTAATCCGATAAACCTTTTTTTGAACTATCTCTGTATTTGTGAATCAGTGCGATTTACTTTTTTTTTATTATTATTATTTTAAGTGGATTTATTTCGGTGTTATTTAATTTTAGTCGAGCTGTTTTTGTGTAAATGATAAAAAAAAAATGTTTGGATATTAGATGAACGTGTCTATATTTACTAAGATGATTCTTAATATTTATTTGTGTTTACCAGCGCGAACGTAATATGCTTATATATTTTCAAGAGTTGGCTCAAAGCCTACTGGGTCTTTTCACTAAATAATTGGGTGTAATGATTGGTGTACCTTACACCTCGCGTCAATATTGTGCGTGTGTAAATATAGATTTAGGAATGTATATTTAGATTTAGTCTTTGTATCAGCAGCAAGTAAACTTTGGAGATGGATGCATGTATCCTCTTTGTTATTCGTGAATCGATTGGTTCGCTGCAACAAGTAGCAACCAACTGAAGGAAGAGGAGGAGAGGGAGTTTGTAGGTTCGAGGGAGCCGTGCTCGTAATACTAATGCACACACATATGATACATTTATGCATATTTTAACCGTTTCTTCATTTCTTTTCGATGCGAGTCACTTTCGGTCCCAATTTTCGTTGTTCTGTCGACTCCTCCTGTGTATCGCATGACATAGATCGTAACTAGAAGCTATTCCCAGCTGCAGTGTTAAGTTATCTATTTCGAGTGAGGTAAACGCCGCATTCCAGGCCAAAGCGAGTTCTAATGCAACAGGTGAGAAAAGTGCGCGGACAAATCGGCCGGAGGTGGTGGAAGGTCGGATGCAGTTTGAATGAACGAGAGAAAGAAAGATGGAAAACTGCAGCAGCACTGGCTCAGTCTCCTCCACACACACGTCTGTACGCCTGTCTGTGGCTATATTTAGAACCAGTCGAGAGAGAGAAAGAGAAAAAAAAACAATAAGTTGCGTAAACCGATCGGAAAAATCTGATCTTTCCATAGGAGATTATCATGTACTACTGGGCTCCACCAATAATTGGAGCAAGCGAAGTTCCCAAAATAAAAGTGAAAACGTATTGGCAGAATGCTGAACTGCTCACTGACCTAGGCCAGGCTCGACGACGTTCGCCACAGAAAAACCACTCTCAAAGAATGCCACTGATTCGCGTTGTACGTACGTTCGTTCGTTATCCAACGAATATATTCAAATCGTTTCACATGCGGTAAGGTTTATGGACGGCCTTGGACAGACAATGAACCCTATATATATATACACCTGAGCTATGGTCAATGACTGGCCGAAAAGACTCGAATCGCTTCCTTCGATGTTTTATTTTGTAAATGCCTGTGTTCTAGGAACCACCACAACATCTCCTATCATACACACATGCTTCTCTCAATTGATAAACACTAGAGAGGTCGGCGTCCTCCGAATTACCAAATGCCGTCTAATATGTGATCGAATGCAATTAACGTATGTTTCTTTTTGTTCCAGATTTGCTTAGTTCTTAAGCTACATAATCCAAACAAAAATGTTTCCTTTCCATAAACCAAAAGTCTACAGATCATCGACTGGCTGTTGCATATGCAAAGCCAAATCGAGCAGGTAATATACGAAATTCTAATCTAAAATTTATACATCATATATCTGCATACATCTTAATATTTCCAGTTGCTTTATACGAGATTGCCTAAGATGTATATAATATTTATTCAAAAATGAAATTTTGTTTTACTAATAAATATGTTCGTTTATTTTTTTTTATAGTTCCCGTTTTACCGATAGTAAAAAGTATGAAGAAGACTTCAACAAATGCTTCCAATTGCCTGGACCAAGGCAGGGGGAGATTTGCAACGCTTGTGTTCTATTAGTGAAAAGGTGGAAGAAATTACCAGCGGGTTCAGAGAGGAACTGGAAACACGTAAGTTCCTCTTTTTTTTTATGTTTTGCAATTCTAATCGGTTTCATGAACAGTAAGGTTATCACTAAATACAATGGCAAATAATGGAACAATGATTTATTTTCATATGATAATGCAGTAGTTTTTCACTTTATTTGTTCCCTCACTTGCTATATATATATATTAACATGATTTATGTAAAACAATGAATGTTTATTAGAAACAGTTTTCTAACAATAACCACTCAAATATCCATGAAAAACTACTTAAAATTGGATTTTAATCGAATGCACTCTAAATTGGGTTTCATTGTAACGAACCACTCGTATCAGAAAAGGTCGAGAGGCCAATTAGTACTCTAAATGAAATTATAATTTGAGATATTGGATGATTCCACAATTTCATTTAACAGATCTACATTATATAATTTTTATTTATATAACTGATAAGAAAAGTACGTGTCATCGGTGAATAGCGTATATCCAATTGCCACACTATATATTTTGTTATATCGGTGTAATTGGGACCCATCCATAAACAAAGATATAATGTTGTATTTGTTTATGGAAATGCAATCTTTTGTTGAGGTGAAATGTATTCATGTTACAGTAGGCAACTCAAATAACGATTAGTTATTTGTTTGTTAAAATAAAATCAGTAGGCGTGAAGGAACGGTGTAGTCAATGGAATTGTTACACCTTTTGTTTTAGTTTGTTTATAATCGTCGATTAGTTTTATTGAATCCACCGATCTGTGCGTTTACGAGAAAACTGATTTTAATTAAAATATATATATTAAGTTTAAAACAATATATATATATACATATATTTATTTTTTCTTGTGGTGTTTGAATGTTGCAACAAAATAAAATGTATTTGTGGTACCAAAAACAGGTGGTGGATTCGCGCGCCGGACCCGGTATGAAGTCGATGACCAAGTTCAAAAGCAAGCACAAAAAACAGGCGGCCGAGGGTGAGGCGAAGCAGCAACAACAGAAGAAGAAAAAGCAGTACGAGAGGGAGATGAGCCCGACGCTGTCGGACGACAAGAGCGACGGAGGACAGGACGTGGAGATGGCCGATGTGGACTACCTTTCGGAGAACGTGACAAGCGGTGGTTCCAGCCGTACCAACAGCCCCGGTGCCAGCGATTGCGAGGAGTCTGTGGTTGTTGTAACCAGTAGCACGAGCAGGAGGCATAAGTCTCAAGCCAAGAGACGGAGCACTACCACCTCCGAAGTCAGCGAGTTCATCGACATGGACTACTGGAAAAAGTAATATCAAACGGATTTATTTAGGTTTAATTTATCTAAACTTATCCCCTTTTATTTTATAGGCTGAAGATTTGCTGTGGTATAATCTTCGAGGGTCCCAACGGTGAGATGCTGATTGACGAGCGCTACTGGAAACCGTGCAGGGCGCGGTTGGCTGCCCAGTGCAAGTTGCGATCTCCTTCAGTGGAGTCGAACGCGGCTACCAAGGGTTCATCGAAAGGCTACAGCGATAGCAGCTCGGATTCTGGTTACGATGACTCGAATCAGGGCACCGATGAAACCGCTGCAGTCTACAAGAAGCACGAACAAGTTAGTATATCGTTAGTCGATGACGTCGTCCCCAAAGCCAATTAATGCATGCTCTCTACTAGATTGTTTTTATTAATTTATTCTGTTAAACGTTAAAAGAAGAAAGAGAAGAAAAAAAAAAGCAACGGAGAAAAGAAAAAGAAACACGGAACGAAAGAAATAATATATATATTTTGACGTGTTAAGTTTATATATTATTTTTTGTGTTCGATCTCGATCCGAGCGTGAATCTCTCGCGCAGCATGCAAATTACTGTACTTAATTCCATACGAGCATTACGGATTCACGCTCTCATCGACTTCGAATATTATTTTTCTTTTGTATATAATTGGATTGATTTCAATTTTATTGAATAATACTCAAATTGCATTTCATATTTATTACTTCTAGTCTCATACCGAAGATGTATTTATTTTAATTATTTTTTTTGTTTTCATTTTCTTTCGTTGAAAAAAACAAACAAACAAACAAGCACAAATCATATTTAAACTAATTTGTATATGCTGTCGTTCTTCTTAAATCGCATTCAATTTTCAGAGAATTAATTCAAACAGACTAATGGTATTATGCAATTTGATCGTCGGCGAAAACTGATTCGGAGATAAAATTGGAACCAATCTAAGGAAGTGATTTCTCTTGCCGACAGTACAAAATGAATGGTGCGTCTTTTCTCTAACAACAACAACAACAACTGGTTCGATGCTGTTGGGTGTGTGAGATGATGCAACTGAAACGAAAGTACCTGCGAATGTCGCGCCGCAATCTTAATAATGCTAAGTTTCATACCGATTTCGGTTCCAATTCATTTCTTCTTTCGTTCGTTCATACACACATGTAATCTTCATTTGTCGTTTCTTCGAAATCATCTGTTATATAAATCCAAATGATTGGGTCCAAATGTATTTGTTTAAGTAAACTAATAAGTACTTGAGACACCATCGGCAATCTTATGAATATAATTATATATGATATAAACATTTATGTTTTTTGGGGGCATTCGAGTGACTTCAAACAAAAAAAATACAAACGTTCTTTCATGTTTAGCTGTATTATTTGATTATTGATCATAAGTTCAACAACAATATTATTAATTACATATACCTATATATACATACATATTATATATATATATATACAAAGCAGATTATATTTATTTAATTTAATTATAATTTTTCATATACAACAGAAAATAATGAAACAACAAACAAACTATTTTTTTATTATGTGCATTTTAATTTCTTCGCGTCAAATCGATTGAACTGGTGTCTGTTATTTATTTATCTGTTCATCAATATTTGTTACGTTCTTTTAAGAAGAAGCAACAAAATTACCAAAACTATTGTATAAAGTGAACGAAAATCATATCACAATCATGGTGTCTTCTAAATTACTGCCAACTAATAAATTAAATAAAATTTAAAGAGAGTTAAATAAATGAAACTTTATGTATACATGTTTTGGTGAGGGGTGAAGTAGATGAATGAAATGTGTTCCTCGATTTTAAGGCGATCGACGAACAAACAACAAATATATGACTCGTCCGATAAAACATTCGAAACTTGTAAATCAAAGTCGATGTTTAACTGAAAAAAAACTAAACAAATTAAAAGACAATGAATCACTTAAATTAATTTAACAGATAGTAAGGATATCTTAAATAAATAATGACGTTATTCCATATGGGAATCAGCAGATGCAACAAAATTTGTTATAAAACATAAGTGCCAAAATGTGTTTATATTAGGAAAATATAAATAAATAAATTGGCTGCGTTAATTTTTAGTATGCAATACGTTGAAATTAATTAATCGTTATGAAATCATAAACTGTGTGTTACAAACACTTCGTTCCAAAGAAAAAAAGTATTAATTTGTTAGATCAATTGTTTTCAGTTAGTGGAGTTGGCGCAATTCGAAATATTATTATTATTATTAGTAAATTTTTCGGTCAGTGAGGGATTGTTACGATTAGTACATTGTTGAGAATTGTTTCTGCTGGTTTCTCTATGGAAGCGACGTGCGTGGTGTTTTAGATTGGAGCAGAGTATCGTTTTGACCTGACCTGTGGCAATATTTGCGCTTCGATGAATCAAAATGCTAAACGGAACGAAAAAGAGTACAACTTGTTGTGAACACCAATTTTTAAGATATATATACGACGTACTTAACTCTTAACAACTTTGTTGCGTTTAACGATAAAATCATCGAAGCCAGATTGAAATTATATTAGATATATGCAATATATATTTGAAAGGAAATGATGAAGAAATGCCTATTTTATAGACTGTAAGCCTAGTCCAATGTACTACTACTATATATGATGATGATGTACTAAAATTTGCAATTATATTATGTTATATTTCGTGTGCTTAGAATCTCTGTATCATGTATTCTCCATGTTCAATTTCGTTCTTAAATTGTGAAACAGTTTAACAGGAAGAAATTATTAAAAATTATATCACTTATGTTGCTGCTGCATCTTTGGGTCGCATCAAACTACAAAGTCCCAATTAGATGGAGCAGCATCGTTTCAATAACACACGAAATATATTGTTCATTATGTTTGACTGCCATTATTATTATTTTTTTTTTCGAAAGAAGCCCTGAAAGGAACTGAAAAATCTGTTATATTATCATTGGGTAATGCTCAAATCAAATTTAATAAAACACCAAACAGAAACAGCTCTTTCTTTCTGGGCTTCCTTCCCTTATGTGTTATATTTATAATGTTTTATTATTTGTTTATTATATTTTGTAAAATGTATATTATTATTTTTTAAATGCAATGAAATTCACTGTGGAATAATAATCTAATATATGTAATTAGGATTAGAGTAAAACAAACAAAAAGAAAATGAAAGGAAGATCAACACATGGTTACGAGTTTTCTGTCTTAAAGACGATCTGTGTTGGATCCTGTGCCTTGGTCCAAGCAACAGCACGATGACTAATTTTCGCGTACAATCTACTTGTTCCGAGTGATGTAATTGTGATCAATGCTGTGGTACTAATTGAAATGATGAACGGCAATTTTTTTTTTGTTTTTTTTTTTAATTATTTTAATCTGTCTTGGGTGAAGTTACATAACCGAGTACGGTGAAGAGAGGAGTGCACATTTTAATTTATTTTCAATCAAAAAGAATAACACAAAATGAGGACGTGCGGAGGTGGCATTAACCATCCCCCCTCGCACCGATCAAACAAATTCAATTTCAAAGCAAAAGCGGATCTCAATGAATAATAATTTTTAAATGGTTGAGCTAATCATTTCTAGATGATAACTGTTATAAGAGAGACATGCATATTATATATATATATATATTATTATTAAATAAAAAATATATATTTACATTCTATTACAAAACAAAATATATAATATGAACTTTCGTGTGTAATATTATTAGTTAACTATTCATTTTTTCTTTTAGCGGAGTTGTCGTTGGCTGCGATGGCTATTCAAAAAAAAAAAATCAAGTATTATGAAAACAATTGAATGCGCGAAACCATTTCGCGCATGATTATTAAGCAAATAATTGTTGTATAACAAAAACTGAAACGAGGAGTAATATATGTAGAATATATAGTTTGTAGTTAATTCTAATTATTTATTTTCTATTAAAGTTTAAGATTTTATTATGATTTTCTCAATTCTTTTGGTTGCATATATATTTATATGTGTAATATATTCCTTTGCGTAGCGAAATCTCAATTGAGTTTGAATAGCACAAACAAAAATAAACAAACGATCGTAAGAAGATGTGGCCTTTTCTTTGCTGAGTAGAAGAAGGGGTTGTTTCTCTTAAATATTTTTGATAAAAATGGATTGCGCAATGGTCTTTGACCTCAGAAGACACGGAGCTGAGAATAAAACAAAAGTGAGAGATAGCGAGAACTGGAGGAGTAGAGAGAGAGAGAGCCAATGATTGGGAATGATGGGGTGCGTAGATCCGTGTCCCATCTATTTGACTGGCGCGGAATATTCTAAATTTATCATTTTATACAAATTGTATGTATATAAAACTAAGTAAATCAATTTTAATGAGTAAGAGTTGATTGTTAACAATGAAAGCCAAAAAAAAAATAAAGAAAAAAAATAAAATAATTGTTAATGATGCAATAATGAATACGAAACGTAAATCGATAACAGCAATTGTTATTTATATCACGATTTTAATGAGAAAAAAAACGATTGGAAAATTTGAGAAATATTAGGGAAAATTGAAATTTTATATATAACTTGTAAATTTTGGTTGTATGAGATATGTTTGTTGGAAGAAACAAAGTTTCGACCGAGGACTTTCAAAAAGTCTCGATAAGATGCAATGAGTAGATTCAGTTTTCTCTCGCCACCCCCTAGGTTCACACTTTAACTTGTTCTTATTATTATTTTTTTTTTTGTAAGATTTTATCTTTTTCTTTTGGTATTCTGAATGAAATTCCATTTTTATTGTGCTTCAGTTGATTTTTGTGTAAGGATTATATTTGTGTAGAGATTGAGAGTCCAAAAAGATTCCATAAAATGTGAAAGAAATATTAATTAATTATTGTATCTTGTATTATCAATAAAATGTATGGAAAAATGAAATCACTGTTTTTTTTGTTTTGTTTGTTTGTCTATTTATTTATTTGGCGTTGGACATTAAGGTAAGCAATTCGTCTGGGGATTTGTTGAAGATCGTTTCGGGGTTTTCGTAGAGGTTCGCTGGATTGTAGACAGCTTCGTATAGTTGCTTGTATATGGCAATCAGCACGTCGAATGCCCTCTTTTGAACCGATTTCTTGTGTTGCGAAGAGGATAAAAGGTTGATTTGCGGAAGCAGCATGCTCTCCGGCTTCGTCGCCAATGTATCCATTTTGATCTGAATCAAAGAATGAGATTAAGATTTGCGTTTTGCTGTTGCGTATTATTATGGTTTACCAAGAAGTTCCTTAAATTGCTTGGTTCCATGCCGGGTATAGAAGATAGAGGTCCGTGGCTGCTATCCTGCAGAATGGTGTAGATAGGTCCCAAATTGAGTATGGCCACCAAAGAGCTGGCCTGCTCAGAAGTCAGGGTATCTATCTGGGCCTCTGATTGGGCTTGCAGACGTTCCAATCTATCCTCCATGTATTGGTAAAGCGAAAGGCACGTGTACATGGAATACATGCAATTCAACATGTAGACAGCCATATCTGTGGGAGGTAACCTGGACGCCTGTTCGTTCATCGCCCGGAGAAGAGGTTCCATTACAGTTTGGGCGATCTACAATACGAAACGAATCATACTTAATTTACCCACATTACCATGTACCATTATCGAACGTACTCTTCCCATATCCGACTCCCTGCCCTCGCTCATACTAGCTGTAGAAAGAATATCCCTCAGGACGCACAGTAAGTTGTTTATAGAATGCGTTGGTGATAAATCCCTGGGTGGAGCTTCAACCCTGACCAGCATATTCGTCACCTGGTTCTGCAAAGATTGCAGGAAAGCGGTCTCCGACTTTTCTTGCAGTTCCAACATCGTGGACTCCAGTAATCCACCAGAAGTTACCTGCAATTATCAAACATTCACACCTTAATTTATTAATAGTATGCTAGTTATACCTTTGCCATCGTCTTTCTGTAATAACGTATCAAATTGGTAACAGCGTAGAAGATGGAGGCTTCGATTGGTACCGCCAAAATCTTTTCGATCCTGATCTTCAATGGTTGACATATTCCTTCGCAAATACTGGATAATGCGTTTTCCAGATCCTGACTAGTATCTAAGATAAGAAACATATTGAATAAACTATATAGACTACACAACACACATTATTTGCAAAGTATTGTATTCCGAGTAATATAGGGTTTTAGAATATAAGCTTATTGTCAGAATATACCTACCAATTTTAGTGCATTTAGCTAAGAGCGTATTCAGTTTCTGCTTCTCGACTGGAATAGCTTTATTTAACCAAGCGAGCATATCGGTAATGTAGATCTGAGGATCGTGCGCTCTCATTTCAATTGGAGATGGATTTCCAGAAGGCCCACCTCTCGTTAAAGCATCGATGAATTCCCCCACCAAAGTAGCCCTTCTAGATATACAATACTCATCTATAACGTACCTACAAAGCAAATTTCATGATATTAAAACTTCTTCCTTCATGTTCATGTAAAATAAAATTACTTAAACAAAACCGGTCGATCCTGCAACCGCTCCATGGCCTTTTGTATAATCTCCGTCAATTCTGGATTATCCACGTTCCTGCAGTGATTCTGCGACCAACGATACAACCTCTCCAAAGCTCCTTCCTGCACATCGCAAACAGCTTAATTCACAACAACATACGTCCATTTATATTATACCCACTTGATGCAAAGTCATTTGCTCCATAATATCAGAAGCCAAAGTCTGGTGACCAGACTGCATGAGCAGTTTACAGTTAGCATGTATGGTCTGAACCTTATCCAGTGCTTTGAAAATATCCATTGTAACAGTGGAGTCCTTCCTCGTTTTGGATCCATGTAATGCGACAAGCTCATCCTGAGTCAACTGGAATTTATTTATGAAAGCTGTTGCCACCTGTATCTGCATTTCATTATTGATGCTGGAAAACATTTCATAATTACACAATTTCAAAAATTGTATAATTTACCTTTCATTATTTAAACTGTTCGTTTGGTCTAGCAAATGTTTAGTTTGGATTCTGGCGTTCTGCAATCTGTTGGTCATATCCCTTATTGATTTGCTCATGTCTGCCACATCATTGTATACATCATCGAATGACTCCTTCACTTCTCTGAATGCAGATAGAAAGTTCTCGTTGATCAGTAAACTTCGTTTCTCTATTTGACTCCTCAAGTTTCGCCTTGCTTGTAATGTGTTATCCTTGTAGAATGATGATAATTGACGGAGGGCCTCTAAAGTTTCCTACTCAAAATATATATGTTATTGTTTGTACTATATGCATTGGATATCTTACTTGATCGTTTTCGAACCTAGTTTCTATCACTTTCGTCAATCTGTTGGATAGGACATGTTCGCTATCATTTGATTTAGGCATTTTATAATACTGATCTTATATATTAAAAGATAGAATTATAATCAAAATATGTATACTTGTTTTAGGTTATGTTCATCTATGAATACGTCAACTATTTCTATGTTATTGTATGGAGAGAATTTATCCATTTATTTCAATTATGAAAGCTTTCAAATGTACTTTAAATAATCCACAAAAGTATTGATATCATTTATATTAGTAAATGTACTAATAATATATTCAAAGGATTGAAATAAATGAGTTAGGAAGCGGAAATATATAGAAAATTAGTCTATAGAATATCATAGCTATGTGATCTATGTATAACAATTTATTTTTAATATAATTTTTTAAGCAGTTTTGTATAGACAATATGTATATATAACATATAATGAATGTATCTTCTTTATATATCCACAATAATTTGTATCATATATTTTAACTGGTTAAATTATTAACAACAAAACATGATTTCAGTATTTTAATTTGAAACAGGTCTTTCTATTGATTATTAATAATAAATATATTTGTAGTGATTGAATACATTTATTCTATTATATATAGTATCTAATTTAAATAGTATTCTTATATATTCAATTTATTATAATAATACATAAACGATTATCAGTAATTAAAAAAAAAATAAACCTAATTCATTCGAACACACTAATCAAATAGGCATTAAAAAAGAAAAAAATACACATTTACAACACAAATTCACGTTGAACAGAGCACATATCTCTCTATTTTTCAGCTTCAGCATCTTCCAGTTTCTTTGTCTCTTCGTCTTTTTCTTCGACTTTCACTTTCATTTTCTTCCCGTTTTTCTCACTATACTTAAACCTGAAATGAGAAAGTTTGTAAAGCAGAGTTTCAGGATGAATTTAATGTGAATTATACCGATCATATCTTTCCCCGTTCGCCACGGAATCCTCATCCTCATCGGAACTCTTTGTTCCGGACTCGGCCTCGGCTAATATATCTCCCAAGTCTTTATCAACATCTGCCCATATCTTCTCTTCCTCGACATTCGCAGTCTCCGTATCCTCCGAGGCTCCATCCTTCTTAGGAATGTCGTTCTCTTTCTTCTTCTCAACGGAAGGATCATCAATTTTATCGTCGGTTTCTTTGTGCGAAGCTTCCTCCTCTTTTTCTTTCTCCTTTTCCGCGGTCTCCTTGCGTTGCAGTTTCTCGGCCTTCTTGGCCAGTTCCCTATCTTCCTTGTACCTTATGTACTTTTGTAAATGGGTACGTTGTCTGCAATGCCTGACTAATATTTTATTCATTTCTTCGTCTTCAGATACACGCGGCAAGTACAAGCGGCACAGGTCGCAATAGTGTACCTCAACTTTTTTAATATTTTCTATACCAACATTGATGTGCTCCTTAGATTTAGAATCACCACCTTCTTTCTTCTCAGCAGTATCACCTTCTTCTATGAAATAAAAATTAGATTAAATAACATGTACTTGAATTGTATATATAAATATATCAACTTACCATCCATATCGCCTACGGAATCAATAGTCATGAAATTTTCCAAATCCTCCTCAGTTTCCTCCTTGTCGGATATATCATCACCGCCTGTTGCGGTTGACTTACGTTTTATGTGTTCAATCGAGCAGCAATGACTTTCATACAGCATTGGGCTCTTGAATGTCAATTTGCATATCTTGCAGTAAGGCATCAAGAATTTCTTCATATCCTTATGAGCCTGAGATGTTTGATGTGTCAGTTTTGCTTGTTTATAGTTTAGTTTGCAGAGGGGACACCAGCTAGTGCGCAGAGCCAAATCGCTTGCGTTCTTCTCGAGTTCACGCTGGGCGCGCCTTTGGACCAGCCTCATTTGACTCAGAATACTCTTCTGTTTCATGGCGACCCTCCTCATGGCCGAAGCGTGACGTCCACTATGCAAATGCATACTATATTTGGCAAAGGTAGTGGAACGCGTCAGACAGTGCGGACAGGTGAGTTTGATGAAGCTCTTGTTCTTCTCGTCCGTGTCGTCGTCCTTCGAATCTTCTTTGTCCGAGGCAACCTCTTCCTCCTTTTTGGGGGAGGTCTTCTTCGGCGTGGTTTTCTTCTCAGTTTCATCGCTAGACTTGTGCTCCCGCACTTCGTCTTCCACATCCTCGCTCTTTATGATAGTTTTCTCATCGGCCATATCGATGTCACTATCTTCCTCGTCGTCCTCCTCCTCCTTGTCGCTGGTCTCTTCTTTCTTTCTGCGAATCACGCTAAATAAAATACGGTTTTGTTGATTAAAGCATGACATGGATATAGAGAAATGAGCAGCTAAAAGGGAGGGAAATAAACAAATAACATGATTTCAAAACATATCCAGGTATAATAGTTAGTATCGTCTGTTTCCCAAATTTAGTAAGCGTTTAATTGAGAGCAATATGAAAAGGCTTGTGGAATATTGGGATTTTATAGTATTCGTCTTGTCTGACACTCAAATAAGATGGATGTTCCTATTCAAGTAACACTAAGACGGTATTTCTGATTTGATTTTGTCTCTGGTACAATTTTCAAGCAATCCATCATCTCACTTCTATCCACCATTTTGAAACCATGTTTTTGTTACGTTTTGTTCTCTAAATCTCTATAGTAATTATTATTATTAATAAATGCAGCTCGTTCTACGGAGTTTCTCATCTTTATATATAATACATGATATATCCTCCATCATCTTCCAATGTATATATACATATACATGTTATATCTATGCATCTCCGTACCAAGTCTAGTTCGTTTCAAATTCAGAAAATCACTCCACTGAAACTTGAAATCTAGAGGTTGGAGGAGAGGTGAGAGGAGACTAAGCCACATTTTGGTGTGCCGCCAAAGGGTTATTGTGCAATAATATTGAGTTTGCTGGCACGCGCACTTTGACAGAGGGAGATAAAACTGAATCGTTGTTGCGGCAGCCCCACTATTATTATAGTATACATTGATTGATATTGATTGTTTTTTTTGGTATATTTTTTTTTTGGTTTTGTATATATGTATTTACCTCCTCATTTTGGATATTTTTAGTCTCCTGGCGTAGTCGTGCGTGCGTCCAGTAAGTACGCGCCTCCTGACGCCGTACGAACTCTCAAGGAGACGCGTACGACGTACACTACTACTCAACGGCCTTTCTCTGAGCCGGCTTCGTATCATCCCACGAGAGCTCACTCTTCCACGATATCCACCGCGGGGACTGCTCGATATCGGCGGGGGCGGCGGCGGCGGCTTTCGAAATTCTTCTTTGCGACCACTAAACGGTCCGCTCGATCTTCCATCGCTAGAGAAACTTCTCCGATCAGACTCGTAGCGACTACTGTTGTACTCTCTGGATCCACTACCAAAGCTTCTCTCGTGACTTGACTGAACAACAATTACAATGTTTATGTTATAATCACTTCATTGCGCATACATAGCAGCAACTCTCTATATATATACACACTTATTGTTACATATAATATGTATAAGTATATATAAGGATTCCCTAAAGACACACTATATCTTTTCGATCATCATCAGACATCGAGTCTATCAAAAATCGTAGCATCAAACTTTCTAAATTTAAACAAACAAAGAATATATAAGAATATACGTCCTTTAACGTGTTCCCATCGTGTATGTATATATATATATAACTGATTAAAGTCATTCAATCTGCTCATAACATTTTTCTATCCCTTGAACCAAAATCAAAATCTTTTCTACGTTGTCTAATTTAAACGAGATTTGAACATAACACGTACAGCATGTATCAAATGCTTCATGAAATTCATTCATTCATTCTCTACATACTTTTATTTTGAAATACGAAATACGGCTTTTTATTGTGCACTTCCTCGTCCGGAAAGTGTCTCGCATGCTTTTTGATTTTTTTCCATTTCAATGATGATTTTAGTTTATGCTTTTTCCTATTCGTTCTAATACATTAAAAAAACACAAAAGTCTAAAATCCAACTCGCATTTTTGCTTTTAATGGCTTTGATCTAGGTTATCTTTGAAACGGGAATACGTCTATTCGTTTATTTGACTGTTTTGATTTAGGTCTGTATGTGCATCGCTCAGATTACTTTCGGATATCTTGAGCATATTTACATCGAATATGGCATTTAATAATACGTCTAAATTCGGTATTGCTTATTTTTCTCATAGGTATACTCTCCTGTAAGGCAATAATACATTTATACACGGGTGCACTCGATGAAACTTACTTCAGTTCTCATTCGTTTTCTATCAGGCGATCTGTGATCTTTGTTGGAATAACTTCCAGATTCCTATAAACAAACAAGACATTCATATAATATCATAACTATTACATTTACTATATATATAAATTAAAAACAATGGTTAAGTTACAAACTTAGGTCATATATAAAAATTAAAATATAAAGTAAATAGCAAAGATGGCGCCATGGCACGCCTTATGACCTCAAAAGACTGCATCTGAGAAAGCTCTGCACATGTGCAGTAATAAAAAGATTTATATAACCCCATAAAAAATTACATGTGCATGACTATGTAATAGTGACGCTTATGTAACTTTGCATTCAAAAGTATGCATTTAATATATCAGCTGTAAATAAGAAACATGATATATTGTTGCAATTTATGATTAATATATCTACATTAGATATATGATACATAAACAAATCACTTGATATTTGAATGTAGATTGCTTATCTAACATAACCTTAATAGATTTTATATCAGTTTCTAACCTGAACATGTTTTCATGCCATTTGATACTTATTATAAAATTATCTTTTTATACAAATTCAAAGTCCATTATCAAAAAGTTGACCTTTGATCAGCAATATAAACATATAATTAGGACAAAAACCTAAGTTTGTTAACCTTTGTCAAAGTCAGATTGTATCCAAAATTTAGTAAGCTATATAAAAATAATTGCTTTTACTGCTTGTGGAATATTTGGATATTTTCTATACGTCTTGTCTGACACCCAAATACTATTAAAACATAATCGAGTAACACAAAGACGAAATAATCAAGTGAAGATTAATAATAAACTTACTGGTTTGTAGGATTTTCTGTATTCATCATTATGGCTCCTTGATCCAGCATATTTATCAGAGCTAGGATATTTGGAGCGCGAATCAAATGAGCTGTTTGAAAAGGAATTGGAGAATTTTCCTCGTCCATTGCCTCTCGAGGATGATGAGTAGCTGCCCCTGCTGCCAGTCCAAGATGATCCCCGAGAGGAACCTCTGTACGAGGATCCCCTGGATGAAGAGAATCCACCCCTACCTCCACGAGACATTGCCACAGTTTGATTGTAACTGTTCAGGAGAAAAGAAAATCAATAATGCATGTTCTTGACGACATGGTGAAAATGTGCCCAAGATTTAGTGTGTACGAGAAAATGCGTGTTTCTGATACATGTGGAAATTGGACATTTTTTTATAATCTCCGTCTAGTCTGACACCCAAACAATAAAAAGAAGCATGTTCGAGTAACACAAAGACGTTCAGATGTTGAAAAATGTGAGAAATCAGTGTATGCGTCGCACCAAAATGGCGTGGCGTCAGCACGTTTTCAACTTTTATGAAAATTTTACATATAAATGCGTGAGAATTGTACGAGAAAAAACAACGAATATTACCTAGGCTTGTAGTAGCTCATTTTCAATGTTGAAATATGATTTTCGACATTAAAAAAGGTACGATGTAACGAAGCTGCTGAATACTGCCAAACGTACGTCTGGTTTCGCGGCCGAACGCTTACAAAATAACTGACGAGAAGATGGCCGTGTCTGCGCAATCACCGACAAAACCCGGTGGCCATCTACAATTTTCGAAAGTACTTTTTAATACCTCAATATTACTTACTTGTCAACGGACGAACGTGTTTTCACTGAGAAATTCACGATTTCCTTTTTATTTTCCACTAGGAACTGCCGATTACTTGCTTCCTTCAGATGGCTACAGAAATATTAACGAAATGTTACATAAATTATATGAAAATATTTGCCGGCGACCGTTGCCATTGGCTGCTTTCACATAATCGGAATGACCAACATTAGGAAAACTAATTTCAATATTGTGTTTCCCCTATATTTTTGTTTCTAAACCAAATTTGTTATCTGTTAAAATTCTTATATCTTGTTAATTTCTAAAAAATAACAAAATTATATTAGCTAAATATGTTGTTGATTATGTAATATGTTTAATCTATGGAACTTGTGAATTATACAATAGTTTTTTTTATTATTAATTATTTAATTATATAACTATTTGCATATTTAAGATCAATAGGCTTTTCAAATAGTGAAGACATGTGAAAGTAGCGAAAGATGGTCATCTTAGAGGAGTGGTCTATGCTACCTTGAAGGTGCGGCATTTGATGGCACAGTAAAAACAAATTGCTAACGTTTCTTGTCTAACAGAACTGATTGCTTAAGATATTATATTATTATTATTAAAACTGCATTTATAACATGAATCATTAAACTTTATATAGTAAATATTGATGAAAACATTCAACAAACTTAAATGACGTTAGCTTCGTTTGTAAACATTTTAATTTTCACCCCATATTAACGTTAATTTCCAAATGCATGATTGTTAAGTTTCTAATTATAATTATTTATGAATGCTACACACACAAAGTGTATCATAAGTGATATAGTTCCAAGTAGATTTACTAATTAATTTAAAAACAAAGATTTGTGAGCCTCTTAACGAAGTTTCTTGTTAGGAGGCATTCTGTTATTCTGTGACTTGAATATTTTATGCAATATATACTTATTATCAGTAATATTTATAGACAAAATTTCAATTTAACATTAACTAATAAAAACAAAAGTAGGATATTCGTATTTAGAATGGAAATTGTCCATAATAAACAAAAATTTTATTGAGAAAATAATCATCTGTATGTGATTTACAAATTAATATAATTCGTTTATTAAAATTACACTTTCACGTCTATAATCTTATTGAAAGTATATAAGGATTAATTAAATCACATTTAACGTTTTCAATCTATTAATTTATTTTGTTGTATTGTGGGTTGCTGGTCTATATTTGAAATAAAATATACACAATTTATTATAGGCTTTTGCGATACAAAGTAGAATAATTAGTTACATTATGTTTTGTGTTTGACATACTGGGTAGGTTGTAATAGACTTTAAATCTTTGAGGGGCGGTGGAACATGCCTATTGAGGCATTATTATAATTTTCTAGAAAATGTTCACGAAAAAGGAATTACCCTTTAATTTGGTGATACCATCCGATGTTGATTCAGCTGACGTAGTTATCTGATTCAGTTGTCTATAAATTTAGAAATTTCTGACTCTTCAAACAGTTAAATAATATGAAGTTATTTTAAGATATTTTATACAAATTATCAGTCATTTACTACCATTATAAGATAAAAAAAAACATAAATTAAAAATGTTATGAAATATATCTATAATAATATTCATAATTTTGTTGTCGGAGTTCCAGATTCTTTAAGATATATATCATGATACAAATATAAATCTGTACATTTCTATCATAGACATTAAAAAAAACTATAAATGCTTAATATAATAAATTGTATGCATTAGTGGAAAAGTAAAGAATGTTGGTAATACTTAATAAACATTCTTTAATTTGTATGTTTGTAACTATCTAGAATATTGTTACCAATATTGCAACAGATCAAATCCCCATTTCGAATAGTTTATTGTATTGATATAGTATTATGATACTAGCTTTAATGGAATGTTGAATGTGAAATTAATTTATAAATATCGACTATTAACTATATTACACTCTTTTAAATATGTACTTTCTGAATGATATATCGTTAACAGGGCCGTCTTATTTATTAATCCATGTTAACCTTAATGCGGCCCTGACCATTATTTTTTTTAAATGATTATATTTCAGGCACTTTTTCATTGCTTATCGATCTTATATATTGGAACGGTAAAGAATATTGATAGATTTACTGATCATTCTTTGCAAAAAAAAAAACAAAACTTTACTTCTTACATAATTGCTTAATTTTTTAATTTTGTCATTGTTTCTTGTGAACATTTATCGAAGCAGACTTGATCCTTTTTCTTATATTTTTCTACTCGTAAATTAAAAAAAAACCTAATTTTTCAAATGGGACTCTTATTTTCGGACAGATGAAGTATTATAAATATTTGTGTTTATGAAAGGTATAATTAGGTGCCCTTAAGCTATCCCTAGTTCTCGCATGAATACGATGTGTAGGATCGACAAATAGGCTCAATAATGGTAAGGTGAGAATTGTTGGTAGTACTGTGTAAAGTGGTAGGGATTTGATTATCGGAGAACTGTAAAGGTGTCGCTGTGAGTCAGTCGTTGTTGTGTCGCTTGTGTAGACCGCACCCTCTGTCAAAAGGGGCACAAAAAAAGGATCCTACAATTTCGCTGCTGCCGTCTCGCCGAATCGGTGGAACGAAAGAGAGAAGAGTGTGTGGTGTCTGAGCTGGCGTGAATGTGTGCAAGCCGTATACATATATCCGTGTATATATAGATACATACATATTCTCACTCACTCACTCACACTACATACATATTTATATACGTGTGTATGTGCGCTGGTCACTGTTTATGTGTGTGTGTGTGTGTGTTATATTTGCAGTAAGAAGAGAGTGAAGTAATGGTTGCAAGTGCGAGTAGTGCGGCGAGTCGTGCTTGTGCAACATGTCTTTAGAGACGCGCTCGAGCACGGCCCTGTTCAAAAGGGCCGAGCAGTTGAGGCGCTGGGAGGAATCGGAGACGAACCGCGAAGTGCCGAAGGACCGACAACCCAAGTCGCGGAAGATCAAGTTCTCCTTGGGCTGCGTTTTCCTTGCAGCGTGCGCCGCGGGTGAAAAGGAAGACGTGCTCAATCTATTGGATAAGGGGGCCGATATAAACACAGCGAACGTCGACGGATTGACGGCGCTACACCAGGTATGTGGCCCATCACAAAACGCATCCCAAGACTCATCATCCATAATCAAGAGAGATTCATCCATAACCAAGATGATGATGATGAACCGAGAAAGAAATGAAAGGAGAGAGAGAAGAGAAAAAAAGTCTCTCGGAGGCATCATATAACCTGAATCCCACGGCGCGAGACGATCCCCCCGATACGTACACGTACCTTCCGTCCTTTTCTCTCTTTCCATCTCGAGACTCTGCCCTGATTTTCATAACGTGACGTAAAGTATATATAACACTATGTGTGAATATATATATATATACCCAATTGTCAATATGGCTACTTTTACGTTGGACTCGGTTCGGAGCCCTTCGAGTGTTTGTTTGTGTATGTGTGTAAGAGAGAGAGAGAGAAACACGCCAGAACAACAGAAATTATCCAGAGACCGACCCCATCGAAACCCCTGCTTCTCCTACCCATAGATTGGCGTGCCACTAATTAATGGAAATGTGTTTACAACATCGAATGACATGTGTCAATGTCCTGCGCGTCGAAAAGGATAACTAATCCGCCTCTGTGTTCCACTTGTTACGAACCAAGGCACCCTGGCCAAAACAACGGCAGAGACGAAATAATAATAATAATAAAAAAAAGGAAGTCCGAACGAAACAAATGCAACAGCGATTTATTTATACCCGGGTACCATATCAAAGTGCACTCTTAGCCCCATCCAAAACGCGGCCGAAGGAGAGCGAAATAAATAAAAAATATATATGTATATATAAATGGAAATAAAGCGCGCGCGCTCCTAAATTGAATCCAATTGGCCCCGAAAACTGTCGGTACACTTGCACGTTTCGTAATCGATTCAGGGACCTTTATTAATAACACTCTTAGGAGTAGATCAATCTGATCTGGATGATGATGATGATGGTAATAATGACGGTGGTGCGATAGGAAGGAAAGCAGGCGACCCGACCCGGTGGCGTTTCGGCTCTGGAAATTTCGTATGCAAATATTTGCAATTTGTATTGGCGCCGTAATGGTGTTTACTCTGCTAGTTGAGTCAAGGTTGTGCTTATCTCAGGCGCAACACGAAAAATCCGACGTTTGGGGGCTAGACAATTCGCTCTGTTATTATTATTTATCTATGCTGACTAATCAGCCTAATCTGTAGGTCAACGATGCAGCACTAATGATTTCAAACTTTGAATCACACGAAACTCATGATTTCCAATATCATAATTTTCTATGCACTATTGAGAACTTTAATTTATAATTTCAAGATACTATTTGATCGTAGGAGACTCAATATTATACACTAAAATACATATAATGATAACTTTAATTGGCAAATTATTGTTTGACTTGATTCAGTAAAACTCTTAAGATTAGTTTTAAGTTAATAATCTTTACACAAAAGTTTCAGTTTATGCTAGAATGATCATATAAAATAATAAATACTATAACCACTATATTCATGTAACTTAACTTTATGATTTTAACTTAAAATTTGTTGTTTACATACTAGATATGCAACAGGGGTTTTCTTCATATATGAAAATACATACTAAAAATGGATTTCACGTATATGTACTTTGACTATATACAATTATTTGTTTCACCTAAGTTACAACGTACTTACTTCACGACTTACTATGATAATCAATTATAAAAGCAATTAGATATGAAAGTATAAAATTATTAATAAATGATACTAGTTAAAAAGTATTGGAAATATTATATTTTTAATTCATATTAAAGCAAGTTTCTTCTAGGCTTGGATCCGCCGAGAAGCTAATTAAAGAGAAAATAATGTAATTTAATTTTATGAATTGTAATTTGCCGCATCAACGTTCGAGTTTGTCTAAATTGGATGAATAATTGTGCAGTTCAATGATTAAATGCGATCGCGATGATGAGCTTAATCTAACGTACTTTACATTTAATGAATCGGATAACTTAATGTAGAAACCGGCGCCAGTAACTTGAACATGATTTTCGCAAGTTAAAATCTTATATTTGCTTTGCATTCTTATTTTTTTTTAAACTAATAGTACCTACTTTACGTTTGCGTGTATTGACAACATATATTATTTCCACTAATAAGCGGTGAACTTAAAAAAAAAAGGAATTTGCCTGACTTTGTTATTCGAATGAACTAAAACATGTCTATTAATGTTTTCACGTCCAATTACTTCAAATACTATTTATATATTTCCCAGAATTGAATAACATTCCAAACTTTTTAAATATATTCTACTAAATACGCGTTTCGTAAATGTTACGTTACGTACTGGTGAATGTTCTTTTATTTAAAAAATATAATAATGCGTATTGTTAAAAGGATGAACGCTGCAGCGGATTTCGCGCAAAAGCGTTAATTCGCTCAATTATTAGATTTCTGTAAACTGGTTCACAATTATTTATGGTAAAAGGACATTAAACTAAATAAATAGAGTGCTTTCAGCGTTTTATTATGCCACTTTGTTTATTATCCCCTCATGGATACTTAATGACTATTCTACAGTTCTTTTCAAGACTTTTACTCGCACTTCTTATGCACACACATATCAATAAATAGTTAATAGTAAAACAAGAAAAAAAATCATTGAGAGCAAATTAATGTACTTTATTATTCAGTAACATTAATTATATTTAAATATATATTTAATATATTATTTATGAATAATAACTCAAATTTATAACATATATAAAACACATGGGCTATTGACCGCAGTCTTTCCGTCTAAGTAGGAAATTCATGTATTTACTAATTATTTCGTTTTTTATCTATATTTCGTAAAGCGGTGACTCATTACATAAATACAATGCTTTTAACGTATATTTTTGTAAAATAAATAAACCATTAACAGAGAATTTACTAAATGTAAGCTTTGCAAATCCATAAAGGTAATTTTTAAAATTATTTGTCTAATCATACTTTTAACATCTATAAACAAGTTTTCGTCAATATATAGAGATTTCAGATTTAGATAAACTAAATGCTGTAGATTTGAATGTCCAATCATAAAGTCATGAAAATTCCATTGCATTCGGTGCATCAATAATGTTGTTTTTCTTGTTCTATTAGCTTTCCAAGTAACACTTTAATGACAGCTGTCACCGTGTGTCAAAACTGTTAGCATTACGACTAAACGCATAAACATATTTGGCAAAAAGTTTTAGAAACGGTGTAATAAAATTACAAATATATAATTTTCAATTTTGATAATCCATATGCTTAAAATTTATATGAGAAATCAAACGTGCAATATCTTGTTTTTTTAAGTCTTGTTTCTTTTTAATAATTATGGGATAATTATTTGGAATGCATTCAAATTTAGAATGCGTTGCTTCAAATTTATCGTAAAGTCATGAACTCTTATACACGGATGCGCATAACTCATTATCAATAATGTTTACGCTTTGAAGGCAACGAGACTATTGAATATAACCGTGAATCGATTTGGTTGTTGGTTTTTTTGAAGAGAAAGAGCAAAAAGAGTAGAATTGGAATCGGTTCGAATCTAGCGAACGTTTGCGACATGCTAACAGTTTCCTGGACAAGTCAGTCAGGATGCATTCACGACGGCCTTTTGTGCTCGAGCACGGTGTCTTTTTTTCCCATCTACTTTGATTGCAGCAAGAAAAGCCGCGCACACCTGAAGGAGCTCGATTTCGTCCGGGGTTCAAGATCTAGGTTACGTACGTTCGCCATAACTTAATGTTCGGAAATGTTTATTTTCCGTACTCGTACATATATATATATATTATATGTAAAAGTACATATGTACATACTGTATGTATGTATGTGGACGTATTGTATTTACGGTCTATGAGTCACCAACAGCACGTTCCCGCTGCGGTAATCCGACACTCCGAAAGCTCACATTCACGCTCGACCTCTTCAATTGCGCAACGATCAACGGTAATAAAAATGATTAGGAGCAAATGGATTTCACAATGTGCCCTCGCTTCGTCTCGCGTTATTTGCAGTTTCGCCCGTGGAAAATGATGGAACGCTCTTCGCGTTTGAAGATGATGATGTTGATCCTAGGTGGTCTACGTGCAGCGAACCCAACCGAGACCTTTTTCTTTCTCTCTTTCTCTCTCTATCTCTTTTTCTCCAGTTGGGCCTCGATTAGGACTAATTAATGAGTTTCGCTTCAATTAAAGTTCCAAGTGGCCGTGGGCGACATCGACACCTCCGCGTTTCTTAATATTTTTTGTTGTTGTTGTTCTTGGACCTCTCTTCATCCTCCACCGGTGGCATTCAAATGTCCGATTCATTTAGCAAGTGTCCCGATTTCTCATACCCACAATTATTTTTATTAGCTCGATACACATTCGTGAATTAATGACCGAGAAACTTTTCGGCAAAAGGAAAAGCAGCAATAAATTAACCATCCACCTACAATCGACTTTCGGTTCGCCGCGACAAATAAAGAAAAAGCAATTCTATTTAGGGTGTTTGCTAAAATTGGACAATGCCAATCGGATTCGTGTAAATGAATCATCCTTATCGTGAGATTTCCTGAACTATAATATATTTTTTTGATTGTTTGTTCTATACTTTTGCTATTTCTAGCTTGAGTTGTGTTATCGCGGTTCGATGAAACATTACAGATAGCAGCGGGCTTTCATTGTTTCGTGTAAGACGTTGGATATCACATGGAAACAACAACTTGGATCTCTCTCTCTCTCTCAATAATTAGATTTACTTTAAGCGATCACGTATTAATCGAAGAGTCAATATCGTAGTTATGTTTCTGTTTGTCTGCGGTTAAACAATGCATTGTTCACGAGCATTCATCTTTTATTAAAACTCTTTAATTGTGTTCAATAAGGTTGTGTTCTGTTGTATTTTTGTTGTCTAATTGAAAATCATTATCCAATTAGTAAATGTACTGAGCAAGAATATAGTATATTTAGTCGCAATCTCATAAAGTTTGTAAGTTTAAGAATATTTTTATTGCGACATGCCTGGATATTGATAACTCGAACATCTAAATACATATATAATTCA